TAGTTCCATTTTTTCCTCCGTCTGTTCACTTTCTGCTTTGTTTTTATCGAAAAGGAAAAATGACATGTCTTACATCACTGACCAAAATTATGATAAATCCTTTGTCAAAATGCTGTGATAGAATGGCACATGATTATCTGCACGGCGAAGATTACCAAGTTGCAATTGTACCGAGTCTTTTCTCGCCCCATGTAAGCTAATCAGGATTCTGGAATCCGGGAAAATCAGGATCATTATACGTTTCTGGGAATCTGCCCACCTACCCCTTCCCTAAACCAACATGAACACTTTATACTTCTTACTTACGGCAAAATGCTGGCTTAGGGGAGGGAGAGGTAAGCAAATTCCCAGAAACGTATAATGATCCGAAAATCCTAGGCTTTGGAATCCGCAATCCAGTTCAAGGAATCCAGAATCCACAGACAAAGGATCCGGAATCCAGTTCCTGGATCCAGAATCAAGAGCCCTCAATAATTCAAAGTGGACAGACTGCAAATTATAGTAGCTGCTAACAAATATATCTACGTGTCGTAACTGTTCATCAGTAGGATGCCTAAAATGTGTGCAATTCCACAATTTGTTTTCGGCTCCATTGAATCCTATACCACCTGAAGAACATTCTAGGAGGAGCCACCCAAAATAAGGCTGCGTTCGATTGATCGTATTCCGGAATAAGAATACGCAAAAGTTTTGTTACTTATCTCTTGTACGCTACTTTTGTGTGCCACTTAAACGCTACAATCATCGGGATATCTTATTTCAAGCAGACTTCTAGTTATTGCAAAGCAATGAACGTCAAAATGAGTGATTTTAAGCGTTTATTCCATTTATTCTTATTCAGGAATACGGTCAATCGAACAAGCTCTAAGACTGTGAGGACGACTTTTCTTATAATCCTCTAATAAGCACCGCATTCTTCTGACTGCGTGCTTTGTTTATTCGAGGGCGGCGTTTATTGGTAATTTTGCTTTTATCTACGGCGTTTAATCGAGGGAGGCGTTTATTCGAGAGCGGCGTTTATTGGTAATTTTGCCGCAGCGTTTAATCGAGGGCGGCGTTTATTGGTAATTTTGCTTTTATCTGCAGCGTTTAATCGAGGGAGGCGTTTATTCGAGAGCGGCGTTTATTGGTAATTTTGCTTTTATCTGCAGCGTTTAATCGAGGGAGGCGTTTGATCGAGGGAGACACTTATTCGAGACCGACGTTTAATCGAGAAATTACGGTATTTTTCTCATTTGTGCCCCCGCAGATATACAACTGGTCACTATTGACCACAAAGACAAATATTCCAACAAGCATAGATCCATCAGAGCTAACTGTTCGACTAATGAGTCGGTTTTAAAAAATATAAATGGTTACTAATGGTTTGACTCTAATGGCTTAATAACCCTGGGGGCACTCCCTGATCTGGCCTAAACGGGTATGTTCCTCTAAACAGGGTTTGGTTTTCAGGGTCTTGAGACTTTAACAAAGTACGCAATTGCACTAGTAAAGGTCGTGAAAAGGGTGTCTTTATATTGGTTAACTCATCCATGTTATTTCCCCCATATGTTTCCATTCTGTTATTTCTTTAACCTTACTTCAATCTTGTTACGCCTCTACAAATGAAATCGTTGATACTGCCACGCTAGTTCTGGCTCAATGATATGGCATCTCTGTGTAACAGTTGCACTTTTACTGGAACTTATCGTAAACTGAATCTCTATATTTCTCACCACAGAGATGGACTGGATCTTAACCCCTGTGACGGTTGTTTCTGGGATTTTCAGGAAATTGGCCTCGCCCATTTTTTGGTACTCCTCTCGTTCTACGGGAGGCTTCTCTGTCATAACGGGTCAGTTTAGTTTCTTTCTTTTCATAATGTTCGTATCGCTTATTATTATTTATTTTTAGGCTCTATGGCGACTCAAGTCCACTTAGCTTTGTAAACGCGTACAAGCTTATGGGTTTACCGCTGTCGTCACGTTTTCTGAGAAACTGTCCGCCTACCCCTCCCCTAAACCAGCATTTTACCCTAATGATATATTAGTGTTAACGTTGGGTCAGGGGAGGGATAAGTGGGTGGTTTCTCACTGATCTCATTCTGATCCAGAACAAGTAATTAATTTAATCAACTTATCCAACCCGGAGATTGCTCACAAACATATCGTTCACGTGTTTAAATGTTGGCGCGGGTTCACATTGGTTATGATTTTGAGTTTGAAGGCAATTGAGCAATTTATGAAATGGGTTCTATGATGAACATTATTAAAACATTTTAAGCCCCATGGAAATCGAAACTGGATTTTTTTAACTGAAAGCTTGCGTAAACTACAGTCAATTCCCTCCTGACTGTGCCCTTTCGTTGAGCGAATACCTTTCTAATGGAAGAGTTGGTACTTGCCGTTTTTCTTATTTTCTTTTATTTGACTTTGTACTAGGCAGGCAACTCTTAATGACGGACAAATGATATTAGTGTTTGCGAAGGTATCCGTCCCATAGAGATTGGAGTTGACCAACACGTTGGTATCATTAAAGTACCAGTACATCAATCCGTGTCTCGTCATCATCATCATCTCAATTAGGTCGATAAAAACCGGTTATGTGACACACCAACCACTTACAAAATGTAAAAGAAAAAATTACACGTAACAATAAGTATAATATAGAATAAAAAGTTAACTGTAGAAATGTACATGTTCTTATTAAGCAAATGAACCAAGGTAATTCTTAAATTCGGCAAGAGAGGTAATATGAGGCATATCAGGGAGGAGCTGATTACATTCTCTAGCAGTTTTTGGGAAAAAGGAAACTTGAACACATCTTTCTTACAGTGAGGTTCAAGAAACTTAAGCCTATGGCTGCTTGTGGTACTGGTCTCATTGCTAAAGTTTTCAAAAAAATAAAATACGGTCAACTCTCTCTAATACGGACACCTTTGGAACCGGCACTAAGTGTCCGTCTTAGAGAGGTGTCCGTTAAGAGAGAGTCGACTGTAATAATAATAATAATAATAGTAATAATAATTAATATAGCGTTATTCAGCTACTCTTTCATAGCGCTTTACAATGATTGTGCTAACGTAAAAACCAAAAAGAACACCGAGATAAATTAACTACAAAGCTTAAAAAATATTAATACATGTACAAGAAATAAAAGTTAAAAATCTAAAATCGTAAGATACTAAGATAAATTTATAGATAATAAAAATATAAAGACGTGTACTAGAAATAAAAGTGAAACGTCGTAGGCCTCTTTTAAAAGATAACTCTTCAAATGTTTTTCAAAAATGGCTACTTATGGAGAATTGCGAATACTGAGAGGCAAGTTGTTCTATTGCCTCTGCGCAGCAGTGCTGAACGCCCAGTCTCCATAAGTCTCAAGTTTAGCCAGTGGCACAGTGAGCAGTTACTGCCCACTGGAAAGTAATGACCGAGAGAACCTTCGATGACTTAGGAGACTAGAAATATAAGACGTTGCTTTGAATTATTTTCTTTTATTATATAGACACGAGTGTTTTACTGGAAAATATACCACTCGTAAAATTCATAAAAACTACATCCGGGACCCGAGTGGTTTATTTTCCATAATCTCACACGTGAGTTTATCGATGACGTAATTTCGGTAATTTCCCTCCAAAATTTGTAGGCGTCTTGCGTCCTTTGAATTTTAATTACACATTTTTCAAAGCTTTGCTTATATTTTGTCATTGTAGAGCCCTATTCAGCTCAGTGTTATTTCTCAAGATTATTGTAAACGATGTCTTATATCGCTGTACTGTAAATTTGAGCCGTCACAATTACTTTCTGGCAAATAAAAATCTATTATTTTATCGATGTCTTTTTGTCTATATAATAAAAAGAACATTACACGGCGGCTTGAAGATATGACTTTTATTTTCGAGTGGCAGAACAATATTTTACGAACGAGCGCAGCGAGTGAGTAAAATATTGTTTTTGCCACTCGAAAATAAAATTCATATCTTCGCGCCACCGTGTAATATCCTCTACTTCGTGTTTGTCTTGACTTGATAGCAGAATCATTGTGCGTTATTTTCAATAGATCTATAAATACAGGCAGAAGAAAGATTCAAATATCCCCACCCCTGGGAGAACAGGATCAGTCAAATGCCCTACCCCAGGGCCAACAAAGACAATCAAATCCCCACCCCATGCCCTGCCCCCCCCCCCCCCCCTCGCCGGCTTTACATTGATAGGTGCGTAATGATTACTATTATTATCATTCATTCATTCGTTCATTCAAAACATTTCGCCGTTTCTGATTGGCTCTAATCCCCCGTGACAGTGAGTGACAATGCTAGCATATATACTCAAGCAAAAGCGATTATCCTTACATCGCAACTAGACTGCGAGCAGTCTAGCAAAGTTAATCCACGCTTAACCCATGCACGCGAGCAGCAAACAGCAATAAACGAGGGCGTAAGCGCGAGAAAAAAAGGCCCTATTAAATCCCTTATTGTAACGTCGTTTGTAATCCTGCTGGCTGGGGCGGATTTTACGACAAAAGGCGGACTGCAAGCAGTCTACATCGCAGCAATAGAGTCTTTTAGCATCAGCTTCTTCATGGTTAACGGCAAACCTGAGGATGCCACGTGACCACGGTTTCGCGGTCGCGTTTGCAGTTTGCAGTTCTCGTTTGAACGGGAGGATAAGCTATTAGCATAAAGTGATTTACGGCAAGCTTTTCTTGCCATTCCAAATTGAACAGCCTCACGTTTGAAGGTAAAAGATAGGTTTCTACATCCGCCTGTGATGTGCCTGTTAGATTTTGGACCTCAAATCAATGAATTCATGTTTTTCAGGCGGTAAATGTGAAGCACTGCGTCTTGACGAAAAGCAACATGGCGGCATGCACTAAACAACGAACGCTTTGCTAAAATTCTAAATCCTGACAACGTGACACTGCAAACGCGTAACTGCAAACTGCAGTTCCCGGTTTGTGGTTTCTTAAGAAAAACCTGATGCTAAAGGTCTCTAATATATACAATCTATACGTATGGCTTACACAACATAATCAGCATTCACTGTTGGACTTTCCGTCATCTCGTCTGATGGCCTGTCCTTGAGATCCACGTTTAACTCTTCAATTACTAGATCTCTACAGTCTGCGCTGGTCTGAAGATGTTGTGAAATTGTTTGGTTTGTTGATTTTACCTTACGGAGACCCATATCCTCCTCTCCGGTGAATTCTTGCGCTGTTTCATTGTTAACGTACATGTCATTCACAGGGCGGATTTTTCCTTTTGACGGTTGGTCCTTTGGATCTGAGTAAATACAGACAAATTGTTCTGTTCTGGTGTAATCATAACTTGATGTTGGCTTTTGCGCTACTTTCTGCTTCCGTGGTTTGTTGTAAGGTACTGGGTGTACCTCCACTTTGACCACATGACGTGTGTAGTCTGCTGTTGGTTTTGGACTCTCAATTCCGAAGCGTATCTCTGCGGAGTTTGTGGAGTGGGTCTCCACCCATGCCGCCCGTGGAGTGTTCTCAAATTGCTGCTTCCTCTGTGACAAAGCCCTGACCAGATGAGGTACGCCGTCCAATCCACATTCTTCATCTTTATGTCCAGGTTTTTCCTTATTTCCAAACCCTCGTACCGTGAAACCCATTTTCCTTGCATTCTGATTTGGAACATTGTGTTTGAATCGTAGCTTTTGGTCGGAATCTTGGAAAAGAGTCTTTCCACAGGGATCATTGAGAAGCTGTTTCAGTGCGCGACGAAACCGTCTGACCCGGAAACAATAGATGATAGGATTAATCCCGCTCGACATGAGCATCGCAAGGTAAGCAAAGTGACCAAGCAAAGTTCTGCCATTGGAGACGGGCTTAATACGAATCAAGGCAACAAAGCAAACGGGCGGTATGTAACATACAAGGAATGCGAGTACAGTAATGAAGATGGTTTTGGTAGCTTTGATATCCATTTGTAGTCTGGCGTCATTTTGTAGTCGGGGCAGGTTGAGCCGCTTTCTCTGTAAGTGAAAAAGGTTTTAGATAACTTAAGAATTGAATGCTACTGGGTGCCCTCTAGAAGGTGAAGAGATATGAAACATTGTTTTCAGTTTCACGTTATCCCGGCGGACTGGAATCCCGAACCGTTACATTTTCTAAGTTGCTCAGAATTTTTGAATAGCATCTCAGTACGGGCTGTGTATTCATGCCGCAATGTCAGGCCACCCGTTTTATAGTTTTACACCGCGCTCAATAAGGGAGAAATGTACATGATTGCGGCTAGGTTGCTTAGCTGACAGTTATGCTGGGAGGGGGGAAATGGCGTGTCGCGATGCTGCAAGGAGAATGAGACCGCGCTCGTTCGCCCGCGCTTTCGCAGCTTCGCTGCTCTTTGTGCGCTCTCAAGACAAAAGCCCCAGCTACGCAAGTTACAGCCTTACAGCCATATCTTAACTTTCACTGTACTTTACTTTCTGAAGTGGTATTGTGACCACTTTTTTCTCTCCTTAAATCCATTTCTTTACTTATTCTTTCTTTTTCATTTAAATGATAAGAAAATTCTGCATGTGAGAAGAGTTTCGTTTTTCTTCTTACAAGCGAAGGAACAGTTAACGGTTAACGTGCTAACGTCCGTAAAGCATGAAATATAAAGATTTTAGCAAAAGTTGACGAAAATAAAAGACCATTTAATTTACCCACAGTCTTCTTACCTGCCGTTTCCTCAATTGAATAGCGCAGTAAGCCATGACGCCGAGTACTATTGCAGTGACGATGAACGACGCGCCGATTACTGTTAAAAGAACATTACTTTGATTCATAAAAGCACCACGATATGTGGACACAGAAGCATCTTGAAGGTCGGTATCAGAATGAGGATATAAGGAGATAACCGCGCTGGCAACACAGACCATCCACACACCCAGCACTATGGCCAAAGCTTTTTCGTTGGTCTTCCAGGTGAAATATTTCAGGTTCAGTGCTATCGCTAGAAGAGCATTTCCCAGCAGCACCAACATGGAGACGACGTTTAGGAACATAAAGAGGCGGAGCAGAAATAGCGATATAATCGCCAGTGTCTTCCCTGTAAACCATTTGACTTTCAAGACACCCCAAAGCAGGTATAAAGGTCCGTTGATGAGTGCGTTGGAAAAATCGACCAACGCCAGATTGGCAATCAGAATGTTTGCAAAGGTGCGAAGCTTCTTAAAGCGAGCAATGATACCGAGAACGAACCCATTACCAAGTACAGCAAAGATAGCCACTAATGACAGTAACACAAGCGTCAAGATTGTGATGGAGGAGAAGTCTTCGACTTCCATGATTTTCTTGGCGCATCTGACTCTATCGGCTCCCAGTGTTGCGATATGTGTCAAAGAGCAGCAATGATACTGACGTAGTCGCATGTGCAGCTGACGTTTTCCCTTCGTTTAGAATGGAACACTTATGCCACTTCAGTTGTTTATTCGGAAATCACCACAATGGAAACGTTTATACAGTTAACGAGCTGTATAAGTTTTTTGATTGTTAAGGAAAGCAGTTGAAAACTGCTACGTACTTTCGTGTCTTTGAGAAAACGTTCGTCTCATTTGTGGTCCGTAGTTAAAGCCGGAGCTGCATACCTGAAATATTATTGGTGACAACAAATGGTAATCGAATAAATCTGTGAGTGTAGTTTTAATTCATAACATTCAACCTTTTTCTTAATTATCTTTATAAAACGCTCGCTAAACATTTCCTTACGTAGGTTTTACAGGAAGGAATAAAAGCACTTAAATCTTTTATTGTGGTTGGTTTCCCAGCCGATGTGATTCAGAATTTTCTTCCCATGGCATGGCACATTGGTTCATATATCTAACAGTTGAGAAAAAGAAATGTGTGTTTTTCGTCACGGCCAAAAATATAGGTAGAGCATGCGTTTACCCTTTTTTGGTACATGCAACTTGAATCAGCCGTACAAATCAACAAAGACTGATAAAATTTTCGAAGTTAAATCTTAAATGTTTTAAAAATAAATCTTTGATTCTTTGAAAATAAATTAGCCTTTTATAAGAAGCACAAAAAGAAGTCAAATAGTTGTATCAACCGGGCGCTACATGTTTATTTCATTGACTATTATTTTTGTTGCAATATAGCGTTTCCTTTAGTGTGTTTTTCCTTGTTCAAATTTAAAAAGCTTCTAATTGAAATGTTTTTTACTTAAAAAGAGTTACAGATCACTTTATAGTAGGTTTGGGTACATGGTAACTACTCTACAGTTTTCATTGATTGTTTTCTATACACTCATTTTGTTTATTATCTTTAACGGGTTTTTTTTAATGGTATCTCCGGATAAGGACTTTGTAATACACATAAAATGACGAATTTAAACCAATGAAAGCTAATCTTACACATCTTCAAGTCTAAGAATTTGGAATCTGTTTTCCTGGTCGTTTTCAGCAACATTTTGTAAGCAATTTAGCAGGTTACTCTCTTGGTGGATTGTAACTTCTTATAGATATAACCGGTAGGGGTTTTGATTGGCTCCCCAAGTGTCTATTAAAGTTAGGCCTACCTTGCCCTCTCGGGATTGCCCGCGTTGTCCCGCTAGAAAAGCTCTCTGGCCCGTTTATGATAAATCCTTTAATTTATTGAACAAGTTTATTCGATCAACATGGTTTGGTATTGCCTTCGTTTTCTTTTTTTTTTTTTGGTCCATGAAAACCAACCACTTTATAGTGTCACAGATTTATCAGCAGTTCAAAATATGAATCATTTCATATATTTTCATTCACTGATAATAATACTTAACAATTATTCCTCGAGCCTGAATGGGCTCTGAGTCAATAGCCCATGAGGCCGAAGGCCGAATGGGCTATTGACTCAGAGGCCATGAGGGCGAGAGGAATAATTGTTTTAGTAAAATCCAACTAGTTGGTCAAAAATATCGAGACAAAACAACTTTAGCTAGCAAAACGCGATTCAGCCGCCTTTGTTTTGGTTTTCAAAGCCGGCGCTTTTCGCTACTAGTGGGCTATAACATATAGCCTATTAGTAGCTCAACCAATGAGAACGCAGCATTGATGACAGACTCTTAATTGGATTTTACTAAAATCATTTATTCACAGGGGCGTAGCTAGCTGTACGCACGGTACGCTGAGAAAGTCGTGCACAAAAATAGATAAAAATAATTAATAAATAGTAATGATTAAATAATAAAAAATAAAAAGTTAGTTCTAAAAAGAAAGCAAAATATCTAAAGATAATTATTTTAAGAGCACAGTTTGCCTCAATTCATTCAACTCTGGTTGTTTCTTGGAAAAGTATTTTTTCTAAAACAACTGACTTTTTTTCCCTCTCCACGCAAATGTGGGTTTCCAGAGAAACGAAGTAATTCATTAATGGACCGAATCTTGATAACATATATATCTAGTTAAAAGATGGCAGGCGTGTTTACTGAAACCGTGTTCGGATTCCTAACCGTTTACGCACATCGATAAATCCTGGGAGCAACGACGAAGGCAATGGTGACAGCGACTGCAATGAGCCCAATAAGTAAATGAAAAAACAACAAATTTTGCACGTCCAGCGCGCTTTTCTTTACAACCAGTACGAACACCACTGTAAATTTCCTTCTGTGACGTTGTTTGGAGAACATAAAGACAGGGACAAGTTCAATTTCTTGAGTCCGAACTTGGGTGTGGTCCCCAAGACTCACTCAAGTTCACCTATATTTGCCATTTTAAGAGAGTTGACGGAAATAAACGCGAAAAAGTAGCTAGGGGCGTTTTCGTTCCCTGCTCTCGCCGTCGTCGTTGCTAAGACACCCCATATCCATGAAAGTGATACTTCCATTTTGGTTTTACTGCAAACTCATATGATCAGATGCGGAAAAGTATCCGGATAAGTTGGACAAATTGTTTACACTACAAAATATTGCGAATTTACAAGGCATCGGATTCACTTTAGAATTCGGATGCAAAATCTATAGAGACTTGACCAAATCGGCACCTTTTGTGGGGGGGGGAGGTTCCAAAGCGATTTGGAAAGTTATGCGTACCTCTGAAAAATCCTGGCTACGCCCCTGATTCATACACAACAAAATTACATCGCTGCTTATGTTAAGGTAGTTTTATATACATATACAGCTAACTTTTTTTCCGAGTGTTTTAACAGCAAGTCATTTAGTTTTTTTTATAAAATGTTTTTATCTACTTGCTGTTAACAAAATTTGCCAAACTTTGTATTGTAAGCATTAGAAGTCAGTCTTATACATATTTACTGGCTGACACTGAAAAGAAAAAGAAAGTTTTACGTTCAAAGTATGAAGACATTTAGGAGGTTTGTACATTTTTACTCGTTAGGAAAAGCAAAATAAAAGTGCATGTTTAAAGCAAGAAGACATGCATGTATTTTCTCTCATTTGAGGCCCACGGATATATATCTGCTACTATTCACAACAACAATTTCATATACTCTTCACCACAAAGAAAATTAAACGAACAAAGTCAGTACGAATTGTTCGACTAATGAGTCGTTTTTAAAAACAAAAATCAGAACTAATGGCTTGATTGTAATGGCTTTATAGCTGACCAAAGTAAACATCAGTGAATAATACTTGGAGACATACCTGGAACATCAGTTCTTGTTTCCAATATTTATTTCCTTAATTCCATATTTTTAATTTCCACAACGAGCTCAAGTATAAGCCACGCATTTCATTGATTTGCTAAAGAACAAATAACCAATTCGGTGTCATAACTTGATTTGGTTAACTCATCCCTACTTCAGTCTTCAAACGTTCATTTCACTCCCCGTTGACATAAGTTTAAAGAAGTACTAGACTGGAAACGTAATAAATTTATTCTACAATATTTCGGCTAGATCGCTCAGTCTGTATCAGTCAAAAGTGCGTGATTGCACAGCAGTCATGTTACCTTAAGACGGTCACGTGACAAGAGAACTACATCGTAGTTGTTCGGTAGTTCCAGCCCTCCTTTATGTTTCCACTCTGATATTTCTTTAAACTCTTGTTGCGCCACTAAAGAACATTCATACTGCCATGCTTCTGGCTGAATGATATAGCATCTCTATGTAATAAAATGAAGTATAAAGTTGCTTTCTATTATCTTGACGAAGTTCATAAATTGAATCTCTATATTTGTTATCAGAGAGATGGACTGGATCTTAACCCCTGTGACGCTTGTTAACTGGGAAATTCTGGAAATTGGCCACGCCCATTTTTTGTGGTATTCATCTCGTTTAACGGAATCGTTCTTTGTCATAACAGGTTAGTTTAGTTCTTTTTTCTCTAATTGTCTCATCAGATATTACCAGTAAGATTCTCGCTTCTTATTTTGTGGGGCTGTATGTACAACGTCAGTTTAGTTAGGTTTGTAAACGCGTACAGCCTTATGGGTTTACGGTTGTAGTCACGAGAAAAATTAGGATAACATACTGGGAAACTGCTCTCCCCAAACCCATCATTTTACCCTAAGAGGGAAGTTAGTGTTAACGTTTGGTCAGGGGAGTGGTACGAGTAGGTGTGTTGTTTCTCAGAATCCTATAGTTATCCAGAACAAGTTATCTATTTACTAATCGTGACCTTACACAAAAGGGTTTTTGAGCGACAGACAGCAACCGGAAGTGGAATTTTTGCATTCTTGCCCAAATTTTCGAGCATATCGTCGCTACGATTGTAGAAACGTCTTCAGCGATAGAAGCTTGTCAGCATCAAAGCACGTTTAAAGGCTGATGGTCTTATTTGCTTAAGGTTCTTAATTACTTATCCACTCCGGAGACTGCTCACGAAAATACTGATTCGTTTACGACCGATTACGTGTGTACGCACGTTGCCGCTCGGTTAAATGGGACTTGATCTAGGCATCATCATGAACATTATTAACTTGTTCAAATTCAGCTCCGTGGAAATCGAAACTGAAAATAGATTTTTTTTGAACTGAAAGCTAACACTGATGCAGTGAAGTCAACTCAACGGACTTTCCTGCAAATCGGATACCTTTCTAAAACGAAAACGTAGAGCTGGTACTTGCCGTGTTTTGTTATTTCCTATCATGCATTTGATTTTGTACAAGACGGGCAACTCCGTTAGATGGAGAAATACATGGTGGCGCAAAGGCATAAAATGTCAAATGTCAGTTAACCCATGTTTATGTGACATAACAACAGTACGTTAGAGAAAACAATCAAAAGAATCAAGTTTGTCATGTTGTGACTGTTCCTTTTAGACTCACGGTCGTTCCATCGTAAATGAATAGTTATTGAGAAAGGCGAGTGTAAATATACTCAATCACAAGCGATCATCCTTATATCGCAATAGTATACACTGAAGGCTTACACAATAGAATTATCATTGACTGTTGGACTTTCTATCATTTTCTGGTCTGATGGCCTCTCCTTCGGTTCCACGTTTATCTTTTCAATCAGTTGACCTGTACAGTCTGCGCTGGTGGGAAGATGTTGTGAAATTGTGTGGTTTGTTGGTTTTTCCTTGTGGAGACTAATGCCCTCCTCTGCGGTGAATTCTTGCGCTGTTTGATTCTTAACGTCCATGTCATTGTCAGGGCGGACTTTTCGTTTTGAAGGTTGGTCCTTTGAATTTGAATGAATACGGACAAGGTGTTCCTTTCCGGTGTAAACATCACTTGTTGTTGGCTTTTTCGCTACTTTCTGCTTTAGTGGTTTGTTGTAAGGTACTGGGTGTACCTCCACTGTGACTACATGACTTGTGTAGTCTGCTTTGGGTGCTGGACCCTCAACCCCGGAGCATGTCCCTGCACAGTCTCTGGGGTGGTTCTCCACCCATGTTAACTGTGGGATGTTCTCAGATTGGTCATTTTCCGGTGACAAAGCCCTGACCAGATAAGGTACGCCGTCTAATCCACATACTTCATCTTCACTTCCACCTTTTTCTGCTTTTCGAACCTTCGTGCTGAGAGACCCATTTTCCTTGCATTCTGATTTGGAACATTGTGTTTGAATCGCAGCTTTTGGTCGGAATCTTGGAAAGGAGTCTTTCCACAGGGATCATTTAGAAGCTGTTTCAGTGCGCGGCGAAACCTTCTGACTCGGAAACAATAGATGACAGGATTCATCCCGCTCGACGTGAGCATGGAAATGTAGACAATGTGTTTAAGCCAAGGACTGTCACTGGAGCCAGACTTGACACCAGTCCAGGCAACAACGCTAAGGGGCGGAATGTAACATACAAGGAATGCGAGTACAGCAATGAAGATGGTTTTGGCAGCTTTGATATCCATTTACTGTCTGGCGTCACTCTGGAGTCGAGGCAGGTTGAGCCGCTTTCTCTGGAAGTGAAAAAGGTTTTAGGTAACTTATGAATTGAATGCTACTGGGTGGCCTCTAGAAGGTTGAAGAGATATGAAACATTGTTTTTAGTTTCGCGTTATCCCGGCGGCCTGGTATTCCGAACCGTTACATTATCTCAGTTGCTCAGAATTTTTCAATAGCATCTCAGAATGAGGTGTATTCATGGCGCAATAGGGAGCTTAAGCAACAACGTTTTTGAGCGACGCACGTCAACCGGAAGTGGCCTTTTTTCATTTTTTTGACGGTGGTTTCGCGCAAATTTTCAGTCAAATCGCCTCTATAACAGTAGAGAAACTAAGGAATAGAACTTTTATATCATCAAGGCATGTTAAGAGGGAAAATACCTCACTTCCGGTTGATGTGTGTCGCTCAAAAACGTCGCTGCTTAAGCTCCCTATTTTCAGGCCACGAGCAGTAAGGGAGAAATGAACATGAGTCCGGCTAGCTTACTTAACTGGCAGTTATGTTAGGAGGGGGGCAATGGCGTGCGGTGATGCCGCAAGGAGAATGAGGCCGCGCTCGTTCGCCCGCGCTTTCGCAACTTCGCTTCTCATTTGCGCGCTCTCAACACAAAACTACCAGCTACGCAGGGTACAGCCCGACAGCCATATCTTAACTTTGACTGTACTTCCCTTTCCGAAGTGGCATTTCGACCCCATTTTTTTCCCTTCTTAAATCCATTTCTTTGCTTATTCTTTCTATTTCATCTTGACGATAAAAAAATTTACAGGTCAGAAGGGTTTCGTTTTTCTTCTTACATGCGGAGAAATATTTAACGCGCTAACGTCTGTAAAGCAAACTATGAAGATTTTACGAAAAGTTCTAGAATATAGAAGATCATATAATTTACCCTCTGTCTTCTTACCTGCCGTTTTCTCAATTGAATAGCGCAGTAAGCCATGACGCCAAGTACTATTGCAGTGACAATGAACGACGCGCCGATTACGGTGAAAAGCACAGTACTTTGATTCATAAAAGAACGACGATATGTGGACACAGAAGCATCTTGAAGGTCGGTGTCCAAATGAGGATATAAGGAGATAACCGCGCTGGTAACACAGACCATCCACACACCCAGCACTATGGCCAAAGCTTTTTCCTTGGTCTTCAAGGTGAAATATTTCAGGTTCAGTGCTATCGCTAGAAAAGCATTTCCCAGCAGCACCAACATGGAGACGACGTTAAGGAGAAAGAAAAAGCGGGACGCAAAAATTGACATTATTGCCAAAGTCTTTCCTGTAAACCATTTGACTTTCAAGACACCCCAAAGTAGGTATATAGGTCCGTTGAAGAGTGCGTTGGAAAAATCAACCAACGCCAAATTGGCAATGAGAATGTTTGCAAAGGTGCGAAGCTTCTTAAACCGAGCAAGGATACCAAGAACGAACCCATTACCAAGTACAGCAAAGATAGTCAGTAATGACAGTATTACAAGCGTGAAGATTGTGATGGAGGAGAAATCTTCGACTTCCATGATTTTCTTGGCGCATTTGTCTCTGTCGGTTCACGGCGCAGTGTTGCGATATGTATCAAAGAGCAGCAGTAATGCTGATGTAGTCCCATGTACAGCTGACGTTTTCCCTTCGAGTAGAATGGAAGACTTATACCACTTCAGTTGTTTATACGGAAATCGTCCCAATCAAAACGTTTATACATTTAACGAGCTTTAAAGTTTTGGAGTGTTAAAAATAGCAATTGAAAACTGCTACATACTTTAGTATATTTGAGAAAACGTTCATCTCAATTATAGTTCGTAGATATATCCCTTATCGGTTATTAGCCTGACTAAATGATTATTAAATAAATCAATGAACGTAGTTTTGAGTCGAAACAACCTTTTTCTTTTTTTTTTCATCACAATCAAACTCTCGCTAAAAATTTCTGCGCATAGGTTTACAAGAATAACAGTTGGTAAAACTTTTATTGTAGTTTGTTTCCTGGCCGATGTTATTCAGAATTTTCTTCCCATGGCACTGCAAAATGGATTTACATCTAATAGTTAAGAAAAAGAAATCTGTGTTTTTCTTCACGACCAAAAATATAGTTAGAGCTTGCGTTCGCCCTTCTTTGGTGCATGTAAATCAATTGCCTTAACAATTATGGAAAACAGATAGAATTTTCGAGGTAAATCTTTGATGCGTTAAACAGAAATCTGCCTGTTATAAGAAGCACAAAACGAAGTCAGTTAGTTGTATCAACCGGACGCTAATGTTTATTTCATTGTCTTTTATTTTCGTTGCAATGTAATGTTTCATTTGGTGTTTTTTTCCCTTGTCCAAAATTTTAAAACGCTGCAAATATAAATGTTTCTCAGTTAGAAGTGTTACGGTTAGGGGAATGCCAACTTAAACAAGAGAAGATAAAATAAAGTAGGTTTTGGTCCATGGAAAGTACTCTACAGTTTTCATTAATTGTTTTCTATGCATTCATTTATTTGGTTATTATTTTTAAAGGGTTTTTTATCATCTTCGTAAGGCCTTAGTAATACACATAAAATGACGAATTTAAAACGAAATATGGAATCTGTTTTTCTCTCCGTTTTCAGCTACGTTTTGTAAGCAATTTAGCAGGTTTACTTACTTGGTGCATTATAATCACTTTTATGAAAAACTGAATCATTGGACAATGCAGTTCTAGAGCTCTTATTGGCTTAGTCACCATGGTATATGAACCATTGTACCATACTCTCCAAACATGGTAACTGTACGCGTCTGCTCGAAATTTGAAACCAGCGGAAAATCGGATGTTTTTACAAATAAAGTCGGGAAGAATTTTCGATATTTTGTTTGCGTTTTTAATAAAACAATTATTCCACTCGCGCTTGTTGGGTATGAGATTATTATCGCCAACTCGGCACTACGCGCTTCGTTGGCTTTCAACCATCTCAAATCCAACGCGCACTCTTGGAATAATTGTTAGATAGATTAGCTGATAGAATAGTTCTTTTGATAGTATATCGCTTGTTCCGCGAACAGGCAAGATAAAGCGAATCCTTTGCTCTGATTGGCTCCCCGAGCGACTAAGTTATACCAATCTTGCCCCTTCGGTATCGTCTGCTTTTGCCGCCTGAAGAGCTCTCTGGACCGGATAATAAATCCCTATTTGAACAAGCTTGTTCGACAAGATGATTATGGTTATGGTTAGGCGGGCAACTCTTCAAGACGTACAAATACATGGTGGCGGTCCCAGAGTTGACCGACACGTTCGTATCTTTTAAGCACGAGTACAGCAATCGGTGTTTTCACATTTCGGAAAAGCGTCTCTTGACATGTGCAAGCACAGTGGCATAAAATCAGCATTGACTGTTGGACTTTCTATCATTTTCTGGTCTGATGGCTTCTTTTTGACCTTTTAGATGAACGTTTAACTCTTCAATGAGTTGACCTGTACAGTCTACTTGCTGTTAACAGAAATCGCCAAACTTGTTTTGCTTTAACTTTGTATTATAAGCATTAGAAGTCAGTTTTGTACATATTAACTGGCTGAAACTGAAAAGAATAAGAAAGCTGTACGTTTAAAGTATGAAGACAGTTAGGAGTTTTGTACATTTTTACTCGTTAGGAAAAGTAAAATAAAAGTGTATGTTTAAAGCAAGAAGACATGCATGTATTTTTAGTCAGAACTAATGGTTTGATAGCTAACCAAAGTAAACATCAATGAATAATACTTGGAGGCGTACCAGGAACATCAGTTCTTGTTTTCAATATTTTTTTTTTCATAATTCCATAATTTCCACAACGAGCTCAAGCCACACATTTCGTTGATTTGTTAAAGAACAAATAACCAGTTCGGTGTTATAACTTGATTTGGTTAAGTCATCCCTACCACAGTCTTCAAACGTTCATTTAACTCTCCGTTAACATAAGTTTAAAGAAGTACTAGACTGGAAACGTAATAAATTTGTTTTTAAATATTTCGGCTGGATCGCTCAGTCTTTATCAGTCAAAAGTGCGTGATTGCACAGCAGTCATGTTACCTTAAGACGGTCACGTGACAAGAGAACTACATTGTATAGATGTTCGGTAGTTCCAGCCCCTCTTAATGTTTCCACTCTCTTGTTACTTTTTGAACTCTTGTTATGCCTCTCAATAACATTCATACTGCCAAGCTTGTGGCTCATTGATATGGCATCTCTATGTAATAAAATGAAATATAAAGTTGCTTTGTATTATCTTGACGGAGTTCATAAACTGAATCTCTATATTTGTTATCAGAGAGATGGACTGGATCTTAACCCCTGTGACGCTTGTTACTGGGATTTTCTGGAAATTGGTCACGCCCTTTTTTGTGGCACTCATCTCGTTCAACTGGATCCTTCTACCGTCATAAAGGGTTAGTTTAGGTCTTTTTTCTCTAACTGTCCCATCGGATATTACCAGTAAGATTCTCGCTTCTTATTTTGTTAGGCTGTATGTACAGCGTCAGTTTAGTTAAATTTGTAAACGCGTACAGCCTTATGGGTTTACGGTTGTAGTCAGGAGAAAATTAGTATAACATTCTGGGAAACTGCTCTCCCCTAACCCATCATTTTACCCTAAGAGGGAAGTTAGTGTTAACGTTGGGTCAGGGGAGTGGTACGAGTAGGTGTGTTGTTTCTCAGAATTCTATAGTAATCCAGAAAAACTTATGTATTTAACTGTGACCATACGCAAAGGAGTTTTTGAGCGACAGACAGCAACCGGAAGTGGAATTTCTGCATTCTTGCCCAAATTTTCTAGCATTTCGTCGCTATAAGAGTAGAAACGTTTTTAGCAATAGAAGCTAGTGAGCATCATAGAACGTTAAAAAGGTGATGGTCTTATTTGCTTAAGGTTCTTAATTACTTATTCACTCCGTTTACGACCGATTACGTGTGTACGCACGTTGCCGCTCGTTTAAATGGGACTTGATTTAGGCATCATCATGAACATTATTAACTTGATGAATTTCAGCTCCGTGGAAATCGAAACTGAAAATAGATTTTTTTGAACTGAAAGCTTACACTGATGCAGTGAACTTTCCTGAAAACCGGATACCTTTCTAAAACGAAAAGGTAGAGCTGGTACTTGCCGTTTTTGTTATTTCCTATCATGCATTTGACTTTGTACAAGACGGGCAAGTCTTTAAGATGGAGAAGTACATGGTGGCGCAAAGGCATAAAATGTCAAATGTCAGTTAACTCATGTTCATGTGATATAACGACAGTACGTAAGAGAAAACAATCAAAAGAATCAAGTTTGTCGTCCTCTGACTTTTCCTCTTAGACTCACGGTCGTCCCATCGTAAATGTATAATTATTGAGAAAGGCAAGTATAAATATACTCAGTCACAAGCGATCATCCTTATATCGCAATAGGATACACTTAAGGCTTACACAATAGAATTAGCATTGACTGTTGGACTTTCTATCATTTTCTGGTCTGATGGCCTCTCCCTCGGTTCCACGTTTATCTCTTCAGTGAGTTGATCTGTACAGTCTGCGCTGGTGGGAAGATGTTGTGCAATTGTGTGGTTTGTTGGTTTTTCCTTGTGGAGACTAATGCCCTCCTCTGCGGTGAATTCTTGCGCTGTTTGATTCTTAACGTACATGTCATTCTCAGGGCGGACTTTTCGTTTTGAAAGTTGGTCCTTTGGATATGAATAAATACAGACAAGGTGATCATTTGCGGGGTAATCATCACTTAATGTTGGCTTTTTCGCTACTTTCTGCTTTAGTGGTTTGTTGTAAGGTACTGGGTGTACCTCCACTGTGACTACATGACGTGTGTAGTCTGCTTCGGGTGCTGGACTCTCAACCCCGGAGCATGTCCCTGCGCAGTTTCTGGGGTGGTTCTCCACCCATGTTAACTGTGGGATGTTCTCAGATTGGTCAATTTGCGGTGACAAAGCCCTGACCAGATAAGGTACGCCGTCTAATCCACATACTTCATCCTCAATTCCAGCCTTTTTCTGCTTTTCGAACCTTCGTACCGTGAAACCCATTTTCCTTGCATTCTGATTTGGAACATTGTGTTTGAATCGTAGCTTTTGGTCGGAATCTTGGAAAGGAGTCTTTCCACAGGGATCATTCAAAAGCTGTATCAGTGCGCGACGAAACCTTCTGACTCGGAAACAATAGATGATAGGATTAATCCCGCTCGACATGAGCATCGCAAGGTAAGCAAAGTGACCAAGCAAAGTTCTGCCATTGGATTCGGGCTTAACACGAGTCAAGATGGCTACAACGCAAACGGGCGGTATGTAACATACAAGGAATGCGAGTACAGCAATGAAGATGGTTTTGGCAGCTTTGATATCCATTTGCTGTCTGGCGTCCTTTTGTAGTCGAGGCAGGTTGAGCCGCTTTCTCTGTAAGTGAAAAAGGTTTTAGATAACTTATAAGAATTGAATGCTACTGGGTGCCCTCTAGAAGGAGAAGAGATGTGAAACATGCTTTCAGTTTCACGTAATCCCGGCGGACTGGAATCCCGAACCGTTACATTTTCTAAGTTGCTCAGAATTTTTCAATAGCATCTCAGTACGGGCTGTGTATTCATGCCGCAATGTCAGGGGCACCCAACGACCGTTTTCGGGGAAATATCTGTTCGGAGCCCTCTAGAATGGCTAAAATTTTCGGGAGCCCAAGAACAGCTAAAAATTTCGAAAATGTTTCGTGGTGACTGTTCGTAGGGCTCAGAGTTTCGGGATTTGTGTGGTTTGTTCACCTAAGAATTTCGGATTTTGTAGTAATCTCTAGATCACCTAGAAATTTCGTAGCTTTCGTAGTAATCTCTACATTCTGATTTCGGCACCTAGAAATTTCGTAGCTTTCGTAAACTAAGAATAGAGCTTAAACCCGGCAGTCTCTTCGTCTCATTAGCGAAAATTTCACCCAACTGATTTAAAACCCAACGACCCTTTTCTGAGGGTACCAGGCTTACCGGTTACGCGTACTCGGGACAGTATCGCAGCATGACTACCGGAGGGAGGGATCGGTGGGATAAACCAGACAACGCTATTGTAGCACTGTTCTCGCTGCGCATGTATCACTGATGTATCTGATCTACCGAATTTTAATAAAGTCACATTTCTGACATTTGCAGTTACAGTTAACTGTGTAGAAAATAGGAAACTTTCAGCGTTTCAGTGAACTTTAGCCCGCGAAAACAGACGTTTTTTCACTGTTTTTTTTTTTCTGTGCTCGCTCATCGCCACCTGGGGGGTGTGTGGGGAGGGGGATGGGGGCGAGGAGCAAGGGCAAACTACTGCTGGCAACTTTAATTTTTGGTTGTTCGGTGACCCTAATTTGCAGGGTGATGAGTGGGTGATACAGACCCGTTATCTGTTGCATACAGGCTTTCTGGGGCTAGATTGGGGATAATATATTCAGCTGGCAGCTGTGCTGTATATTCTGTATTTTGACCGAGACGAAGTCACGGGTCGGTGCACGGTCCTGCTGATTCCCTGAGCTGATTGTCGACAACCAAAAAATCACTCGGATGTCAAAATCCAGCTCACCGGAGTAATCAGCTTGTTAACAGCAGCTAGCAGTTTAGCGGCAGTCACCCTCGCCGCCTATCAGTGACCTATCAGACCTATACCACGCGAGTAACCTAACCTCGAGTAGCCAGTCAAAATACAGCCCCAAATCACAACAATCCGGATCAGAAATCATCCTCACTTTTTAATCGAGTCTGTTATTTTTTGCAATGACGTTATCAGCATTTAGCTAAGAGTTGAATCAGTCGTGTGGAATTTCCATTTAACTGATCCCAACTCTGCCAACTGCCTTAGCTGACTGCGTTCAATGTGCGTTGTAATCAGTCAGTGCCATGCCGTATTTCAGATTTTTCCGCAAGTCAGTGGCAAGTGCCGTGCGAATTGAGTTCGGCAGGTACAAGACGTTTCAACTGGCTTTAAAATCACTTAAATGTCTTTTCTTTTACACCTAGAATTTTCTATACATTCATTAGACGTTTCAACTGGCTTTAAAATCACTTAAATGCCTTTTCTTTTACACCTAGAATTTTCTATACATTCTACGTCGCCCTAGAAAATTCGGAGACATTCTCAGACTACATAAAGTTTTCGGAGAAAACTTGAAAGGACCCCTAAAAATTTCGGTCAAGGCAAAAGCTCGTCAGGTAATCTTACGTTTTCGGAAAGCTTTCACTGTAGGCTAATATTTTCGGGAAAGGCGAAAAACAGCCCTAAAAAATTCGAGAGGTTCAAACCACTCCTAGGACGACCGAACAGATCAAATTTTTTTAGCGATGCGAATTATTCATTTATATTGCTTTTAAAGCACTCCAGGATGCATAACGAGCCATTTCAGATCATTTCCCAGAAAACGGTCGTTGGGTGCCCCTGCAATGTCAGGCCACCCGTTTTATAGTTTTACACCGCGCTCAATAAGGGAGAAATGTACATGATTGCTGCTAACTTGCTTAGCTGGCAGTTATGTTAGGAGGGGGGCAATGGCGTGTCGCGATGCTGCAAGGAGAATGAGACCGCGCTCGTTCGCCCGCGCTTTCGCAGCTTTGCTTCTCATTTGCGCGCTCTGAACACAAAACCCCCAGCTACGCAGGCTACAGCCTTACAGCCATATCTTAACTTTCACTGTACTTTACTTTCTGAGGTGGTATTGTGACCCACTTTTTTTCTCTCCTTAAATCCATTTCTTTACTTATTCTTTCTTTTTTATCTGAATGATAAAAAAATTCTACATGTGAGAAGAGTTTCGTTTTTCTTCTTACATGCGAAGAAATAGTTAACGGTTAACGTGCTACCGTCCGTTGAGCATGAAATATAAAGATTTTAGCAAAAGTCGTCGAAAATAAAAGCGGACCATTTAATTTAACCTCTGTCTTCTTACCTGCCGTTTCCTCAATTGAATAGCGCAGTAAGCCATGACGCCGAGTACTATTCCAATGACGATGAACGACGCGCCGATTACTGTTAAAAGCACATTACTTTGATTCATAAAAGCACCACGATATGTGGACACAGAAGCATCTTGAAGGTCGGTATCAGAATGAGGATATAAGGAGACAACCGCGCTGCTAACACAGACCATCCACACACCCAGCACTATGGCCAAAGCGTTTTCGATGGTCTTCCAGGTGAAATATTTCAGGTTCAGTGCTATCGCTAGAAAAGCATTTCCCAGCAGCACCAACATGGAGACAACATTTAGGAACATAAAGAGGCGGAGCAGAAAAAGCGAGATAATCGCCAGTGTCTTCCCTGTAAACCATTTGACTTTCAAGACACCCCAAAGCATGTATAAAGGTCCGTTGATGAGTGCGTTGGAAAAATCGACCAACGCTAGATTGGAAATCAGAATGTTTGGAAAGGTGCGAAGCTTCTTAAAGCGAGCAATGATACCGAGAACGAAGCCATTACCAAGTACAGCAAAGATAGCCACTATTGACAGTATTACAAGCGTGAAGATTATGGTGGAGGAGAAATCTTCGACTTCCATGATTTTCTTGGCGCAACTGTCTCTGTCAGCTCCCAGTGTTGCGATATTTATCAAAAGAGCAGCAATGATGCTGATGTAGTCCCATGTACAGCTGACGTTTTCCCTTCTGTTAGAATGGAAGACTTATACCACTTCAGTTGTTTATACGGAAATCCTCACAATCAAAACGTTTATATATGTTGTGGTTCAATTTTATCCTTGGTTTAATTTTTATTTTCTTTTGATTTTGGGTATGGTAATGTATGATAATGAGTTTAAAACAAAAGACGATAAAAATTAAATCAAAGATAAAATTGAACCACAACATATATTTAACGAGCCTTAAACTTTTTGAATAAAACTTCTAAAAACTTTTATTGTGGTTTGTTTCCTGGCCGATGTTATTCAGAATTTTCTTCCCATGGCACTGCAAGATGGATTCATATCTAATAGTTTTAATAAGAAAAAGAAATCTGTGTTTTTCGTCACGGCCAAAAATACACGTAGAGGTTGTGTTCGCCCTCCTGTGGTGCATGTAAATCAGCCTTATGAAAAAACAGATAGAATTTTCGAAGGTAAATCTTTGATGCTTTGAAAATAAATTAGCCTTTTATAAGACGCACAAAACGAAGTCAGTTAGTTGTATCAACCGGACGCTAATGTTTATTTCATTGTCTTTTATTTTCGTTGCAATCTAATGTTTCATTTAGTGTTTTTTTTTCCTTGTCCAATTTTTAAAACACTGCGAATATAAATGTTTCTCAGTTAAAAAGTGTGACAGTTAATGGCGGTCAAGTTAAAACAAGAGTAGATAAAATAAAGTATGTTTTCGTCCCTGGAAAATACTCTACTCTAAAAAAAATACTCTTTCTTGGTGGATTATAATCACTTTTATTAAAAACTGAATCATTGGATATTTCAGTTCTAGAGCTCTGATTGGCTTAGTCGTCATGGTATATGACGCATTATACCATACTCTCCAAAGATGGTAACTGTACGCGTCTGCTCGAAATTAAAAACAATCTGAATATCGGCTGTTTTTTCAAGTAAAGTCGGGAAGAATTCTCGATATTTTGTTTGCGTTTTTAATAAAACAATTATTCCACTGGCGCTTGTTAGATATGAGATGATCTACCATCTCAAATCCAACGCGCAGTCGTGGAATAATCGTTAAATATATTAGCTGGTAGGATAGTTCTTTTTATATTATATCGCTTGTTCCGCGAGCAGGCAAGGTGAAGCGAATCCTGTGCTTCGATTGGCTCCCCGAGCGACTGAGTTTTGCCAATCTTGTCCCTTCGGTATCGTCCGCTTTTCTCGGCTGAAAAGCTCCCTGGCCCAGATAATAAATCCTTAATTGGACAAGCTCGTTGGACAAGATGATTATGGTAATGGTTAGGCGGGTAACTCTTGAAGACGAACAAATACATGGTGGCGGTCCCAGAGTATACAGATACGTTCGTTTCCACCAGTACAGCAATCTGTGTTTTCACATGCGGAAAAACGTCTCTTGACATACGCAAGCTCAGTGGCATAAAATGTCAAATTTGAATCCTTCGCGACATGCGAAAAGTAGCTCTAAAACATGCGCAAATGTTTCTTTTCGCTGGTTCTCGCATGAAAAAAAAAATATTAACAACAATAATAATAGTAATATCTTTTCTTCTTATACTCACGGTTGTTTCATCGCACTGCACGTAAAATTAGTGAAAAAGCAAGGATGTATTTACTTAAGCAAAGTGATTATCTTTATATTGCAACGGTATAGACTTAAGGCTTACACAGTATAATCAGCATTGACTGTTGGACTTTCTATCATTTTTTGGTCTGATTTCTTCTCTTTGACCTCTTCAATGAGTTGACCTGTACAGTCTGCGATCGTCGGAAGATGTTGTGAAATTGTCTGGTTTGGTAGTTTCTCCTTATGGAGACTAATGCCCTCCTCTGCGGTAAATTTCTGTCCCTTTTGATCCTTAACGTACCTTTCACTCTCCGGGGTTTTTCGTTTTGATGGTTGGTCCTTTGGATCTGAGTGAATACAGACAAAGTGTTCTTTTCCGATGTAAACATGACTTGTTGTTGGCTTTTGCGCTACTTTCTGCTTTAGTGGTTTGTTGTAAGGTACTGGGTGTACCTCCACTGTGACTACATGACGTGTGTAGTCTGCTGTGGGTTTTGGACTCTCCACCCCGGAGCGTGTCTCTGCGGAGTTTGTGGGGTGGGTCTCCACGCATGCTGCCTGTAGGGTGTTCTCAAATTGCTGGTCTTCCAGTGACATGACTTGATCCACATTCTTCATCTTTATGTCCATCTTTTTCCTGCTTTCCAAACTTTCGTACCGTGAGACCCATTTTTCTTGCATTCTAATGTGGAACATTGTGTTAAAATCGTAGCTTTTGGTCGGAATCTTGGAAAGGAGTCTTTCCACAGGCATCATTAACAAGCTGTATCAGTGCGGGGCGAAACCGTCTGACTCGGAAACAATAGATGACGGGATTCATCCCGCTCGATATGAGCATTGAAATGTAGACAATGTGTCTAAGCTAAGCACTGTCATTGGAGCCAGACTTGACACGAGTCCAGGCAACAACGCCAACGGGCGGAATGTAACATACAAGGAATGCGAGTACAGCTATGAAGATGGTTTTGGTAGCTTTGATATCCATTTGTAGTCTGGCGTCATTTTGTAGTCGAGGCAGGTTGAGCCGCTTTCTCTATAAAAAGAACTTTTTCAGAGAATTTATGACATGACTTTTTAACAGATGATAAGATATATCGGCGGCGCAGAATCCTGATCCGTCGCATTTCCGTAGTTGATCAGAGTTTTTTTCAGTAGCATCTCAGTATGGACTGCCTATTCATGCCGCGACGTTACGCCACGCGTTTTATACAGCACGCGCTTAGGGAGAAGTGTTCTTGGGCCCGACTGGCCTGCGTTTTTGGTTATGCGGCGGCGGGGCGAGTAGTGATGGAGTGGGGGTCAATTACGGGAGCGCCCTTTCGTTTGCATCTTCGCCGTTCAATTGCCCTTTCGCCTTGACTTCACTCTCTTAAATGGTGTATGACCCCCTTTTTTCTCTTTATTAATCACAAACTCCGCAAATCGTAGGTATGTCAGTGGCGCAACTCTCTCTTTCGGCTCCCAGTGTTGCGATATGTTTTAAAGAGTAGCAATGATGCTGATGTAGTCCCATGTACAGCTGACGTTTTCCCTTCGGTTAGAATGGAACACTTATGCCGCTTAAGTTGTTTAGACGGAAATCATTACAATGAAAACGTTTATATATTTCTAACGAGCTTCAAACTTTTTTGGATCATTAAGGAAAGCAATTAAAAACTGCTATACTTTTGTCTCTTTGAGAAAAATTTCGTCTCATTTGTGGTCCCCGTGATAGCCGGACCTGCATATCTTTGAAATATTAGTGACTAAAAATGATAATCGAATAAATCAGTGAGCGTAGTTTTAAGTCATAGCCGAAGACATTCAACCTTTTTCTTAATCATCTTAATAAAACGCTCGCGAAAAATTTCCGCACGTAAGTTTACAGGGACAAAAGTACTTAAATCTTTTATTGTGGTTGGTTTCCCAGCCGACGGTATTCAGAATTCTTTTCCCATGACACGGCGCAATGGATTTATGTCTGATAGTTTTCAAAAAAAGAAATCTCGACTTGGGATGTTTCGTCACGGCAGAATTTATATGTTCAGCTTGCGTTTGCTTTTCTGTGGCATGGTACCTATTAATAGATCGTAAGAATTGTCAAAAACGGATAAAATTTTGGAAGTTAAACTGGTTAAATCTTTGATGTTATAATAAATTAATTAATTGTTTGGAAGAAGTACAAAAATAAGTCATAGTAAATTGTGTACTGGAGGCTAAATTTTAATTTCATGTAGTCTTAAGGCATTGTTTTTTGGCTTTGCTGCTATATTAGGTTTCATATCTGCTTTTCCTTGTTTCAAGTTTAAAAAGCTCGAAATTTAAATGTTTCCAACTTAAAAAGAAGTACGGTTGAGGACTGTCATGTTAAAAAAGAGAAAACTTAAGGATAGTAGGTATGGATACATGGTAAATGCTGTGCAGTTTTGATTAATTGTTTTTCTATACTTTGATATGTGCATTTATTTTGTCTGTTTCTGTATTTCATAATGTAACAGTGCGAGTCTCTCAAATTTTTTCTGTCCGCCGCGTGGAGGATGGGAAGAGGGAAAAATCAATCAAAGTTTATTTTAACGAATCGTTTTCTTTATTGTTTTTGGGACACATTTACGCGAGGGGGGTGGTAGCGGAGGGGAGCCATCTGTCAGGCGAATTATATATATATTGTATTGCGAAAAATTTAACAACGGGCTAAATGGGTATAATTTCTAGAGATTCGTTTATATGATCCCGCATTCAGACTGATCTGAATGCGAGGGAGGGAGTCCCGTATTAAAACGGCGGAGTTTCTTCTCTTACCTTTTCAGGGGGCTTTCCAGCAGTGTTGAACGATATTCGTTTGCTGCTCTCTATTAAAAAAAAAATCAGGGAGGGTCTATTTGAGTCACGGCCCGGAAAAAAGATTCTGGAACCTTTAAGGAGTGTTTTCTTATTTTTGTGACAAGCATCTCTACATCTTCTAGGAGAATCACCCCTCCGGAACTAAAGTGATTTGACAGTGGAGATACGAAGGGCTAAAAAGAAAACCAAATTGGATCGCCCGAAGAAGCTGGTTCACAACAGGAAATACATCTTATCGGAGTAAGTCACCGACTCCATTCAAAAAAACGTATTGCCTTTAAAGCCTAATGGTTATGTTTTCATACAAACCTCAATGACGTGAGGGAATTTCGACGTAAATTGGGCGGGGGCGCTGTTAGTCTTATTTAACGGGTTAAATTGCAAGTTTTGTTATCACTAACTGGGATTAAGAGGTAAAAGTAACAGCGTTACCCATGCAGGTATCATTCAGAGAGGCGCATGATTGAGAATCTACCACGGCCATTACCATTGCCACCGCCACCACTACCACTAGCTCTAACACTACTACTGCTAGGGATTGTTTAGTTAAGCCAGGTCATGTGAGGCAATCGATATAACATAGATAAAGTTTGGAGTCGTTCTCTGTCAATTTAAAGAATCGAAACTCTAACTGTAAAGGCATTTGCCTTACTAGAGAGATGGACCTATACGCGGCGAAGCTTACGGCTGGGATTTTCTGGAAATGTACCACGCCTATTTGGCACTCCCTTATTTGGCCTTATGCCTTATTTGGCACTCCCCCCAACCTCCTCTGGGTTTAATATCTTCTCTTGGGAACTGCTCCTCCTTTACAAAGATCGCTATTGCAAGCTTCACTGGACGCTAGACTTTCTCTTTTCTTTTAGAGGGTTTCAGGTTGTCTTCTAAATGACTTTCCCTTTAAGTTCAAGTTCAAGTTTATTAAACACTTAGGATACATATAACCATTGATCCTTGTCCGCAAATAGCCTAGCTAATCGAGGCTGGAAGGAAAATTTAAAAAAAAAAAATACAATAACAGGGTTGAAACATAACAATAAAGAAAACAGATATACCAAAATCAAAATATCGAATTAACAAGACAGTGAGTTCACATATTTCAAAATACGTAAATAAAACAATGTATGAATGAAATTAAACCGACAATTTAACATTTACTAAATATGTGAACTTTACGTTCGCACGCCAACATAAGTATCTTCCTGTATCAAAATATCCAGTAGTCAACTCTGTAGGTTATCCTTAAATTTATATTTAGGTAGAGCACGATCACTGTCGGGAATACTATTCCATATCTTTGCACCAATTCTTGAAAAGGAGTTTTTCATATGGTCCGTTCTCGAGTGCTTAAGGTAGAAATTGCCAGCCGCAGAAAATCGTGTATTATGATGATGTAGCTTTGAAGAATAAGTAAATAAGTTAGAAACGATTGGAGGCGTTACATTATTGAATACATCGGGCATAATAAGTCAGATTGTTTTAAAACAAAGAAGATTAAGAGGAAGAACATTAGATAATTTGAACAAAGGTACAGCGTGGAACCTAAAGGGTTTGAAATGAATCAAACGAAGGGCACGTTTTTGCAGAATCAAATATTTTTGCAATTTTGTCGGAGCAGCTTGGCCCCAGATGGCTATACCATAGGTTAAGTAAGGTTGTACAAAAGAACGATATATGTTTAATTAAGTTGAAGAAGGGACAAAATGCCTTAGTCTTGCAAGGATGCCTGATGATTTGCTGAGTTTGGTAGAAAAATATATGATATGATGATGCGTCCAAGATAACTTTAATCAATAAGGACACCAAGGTATCTTACACATTCTTTCCTTTCTAAGGAAACAAAAGAGTTTGCGCTGTAATCAAAGATTTTGATGTTCACGTCATAATCAATACGCTTTTGATAGTGTCTAAATATAACGAAATTAAATTTTTTAGCATTAAGAGATAATTTGTTTGCCATTACTCCTTAACTCCTCATGTTGAAATCATAGTTAAAACTATGACTTCAAGACTTAGTGATCTCCAGTTCTTATCATCATAAAGTAGATTGGTGTCATCACCAAATAAAGAAATGCTTAATTTGTCACAAGAGTTATAGATATCATTTATGTACAACAAGAACAATAATGGTCCCAAACTGATCCTTGCGGAGCACCACACAGACATCGCTCTTTCCTAGAAACATGGGAACCAACCTGAGTAGTTTGGAATCGATCGTTTAGATAAGAGGAAAACCAGTTATTAAGGACTCCTCGGATTCTGTGACATTCAAGTTTCTGCAACAAGATTGAGTGGTTTGACTGCGTCAAAAGCTTTCTTTAGGTCTATAAATATAGCACTGGATAAAAGCTTCTTGACAATATTAAGCTGAATTCTATTAACAATATCAATAAGAGTATGTTGAGTGGAGCATTTTTTCCGGAAGCCATACTGACACTGGAACAATAAATCGTGTTTATCCATAGTTACTATGGTTTATCTAGGAACGATTTTAAGCGATTACATTTTAGTTTCTCAAAGGTGTGATTAAATATTCACAGGAGTGAAATTGGCCTGTAGTTTTCTGGGTCTAATTCATCCTCACTCTTGAAAACTGGTACAACTTTAGCAAGTTTTAACTTTGAAGGGTAAATGCAACTCTCAATTGACCTTTTCATGATTGAGGCCAGGGGCTAAGAAGGAAGCTGACTAGCAGATTTCAGAATTCTGACAGAACAGCAGTACAAGCCCGTTGTTTTATTTAGAGAAAGAGACTTTATTTCTACTTCTATTTCCCCTGGCAAAACTGGGCTGAAAGCAAAAGATTCCGAGAACGATAGTCTAGGTAGATATTGTGAAAATTATACGGAATGTGGAATTTTTTTGATGCTAATTTATGCCTTATGGAAGCAAAATGCTTATTGAGAACATCCGACAGAATCTTGGATCAGAGGTGATGCTATTGTGATTTAGACACTTTAGATAGTAATTACTTTATCAGATTTCTTTTTACGATCAATAATTATAATTATACTTTCCCAAGTAAATTGGTCATAAGACACTCTATAGTTTTCTAGTTTGTGGGTTTTCCTTCTGATTTTGGTATTCCTCTTCAGCGGATTTTTGTACTGTTTGATTGTTAATGTACCCCTGGCTTTCTGTAATTTTCTGCTTTGATAGTTCGTCAGTGGTCTGTCTGTGTACTCTTCCATTGCTTTCTTTTCTCGTATAATCTTCACTTGGCGTTGTCATTTTTGCCCTTTTCCGCTTAAGTGGTTTGTCGTAAGGTACTGGGTGTACCTCTACAATTACTTCATGTCGGGTGTAATCCTCTTTGGGTGTTGGACTTACTTTGCCAGACTGAGTTTCTCTAGACGTACTAGATTTTATTGAGCAGTTCTCCACCCATGCGCGAGATCGTGACTTCTGTATTGACAAGGGCATGGGCTGATTACACACAGGCCGCCCACATTCTTCTTCTTGTTTTTTACTGCTTTCCTTCGTTTCGAGCACTTGAAATGTAAGAGCCATTCTTCTCGTGTAGCGGCTTGAATTTCGAAACAGCAGGAGTCTGTCCTCGTCAAATTTATCCACGATTTTTTTTCGTCTTGAACTGTGATGCAGCTTATTTTCTTTGAATCGTTGATCTTGGTCCGCCTCTTGGAAAGCTGTTTTTCCGCAGGGATCGTTAAGAAGTTGTTTCAATGCGCAGCGAAATCTTCTGACTCGGTAGCAATAGATGATAGGGTTGATCCCGCTGGACAAGAACATGCTTAGGTAGGCCACGTGACCAGGCCAAGGCATAACGGTGGCATCAGCTTCTGGATGAACCCAGGCTCCAATGCAAACGGACGGAATATAGCACGCCAGGAATGCGAGTACAGTAATGGCGATAGTTTTGGTTGCCTGAATATCCTGTTGGAGTCTGGTATCAGCTTGAAGTCGAGGTAGATTCAACTGCTTTCTCTATAAAAAAAAAAGGACAAACCATAGAAATTTTTCTTATGTCCAGTAAACATCACCCTAAACAGTGGTCATGTATACATAAAGACGAGTGCGTGGGCCGGCTGCAACGCAGGCTGGCAAATTTCCCTGGAGTTGATTTCTTGGAGACTGCACTCAAGTTTAGAAAGAGAAAGAAAATTTCGTCGTAGCTTGTTTACGTACTCCATAAAACGTGAAGTTAGGCATTTTCACGTCGTAGTCGTGCAGTGACGGCAAAGAAATGTACAAACAAGCGTGATACATGTGCATAGTTGTTGTTTTGCCAATCAAACCTGGCCTATTCAAAGGTTTTGACGTTCTCCCTTCCGTCGCCGTCGTCGTTGCTAAAGCTCCCTAAAGAAGACCTCTGCGGAGGAGAAAGCTTTGACTGGGTATACTTTAGTGTTTTGGGAAGTTGGTAACCTGAGTATCAGGCGTTTCCCTCCTCCCAGCTTGCGAGTTAGCTCTCCCGGGGGTACGGGGGTTGGGGAGGTGGTAGTTTCCCTCTTCCTTCCCCCACCCCTACTGCCAGGAGAGCTTGCTGGCAGGCCGCCCTCCTTCCCCCACGGTCCCCTAAAATCTCTTCTCTGAACATCATTGATCATTTTCGAAAGACCATCGTGTTGGGTCTGTATAGTTTCGTTTGCTTATATAGTTTTAGTTGATAGCTTTTTTGTTTTTGGATATAAATAGTGATCATTCAGAGCATCATTGCATACATTTTCTATGAGTAGCTTTCCAGTGAAAATAACGATAAACCCGAAATAGTTCCAATGTGCAAAATAAGGGCTATATAAGAATTCTTTTTTTTTTTTTTTAAAAAAAAGAAGGCTTTAATCTTACCTGCCGTTTCTTCCTTTGAATTGACTGGAAAGCCAGGACTCCAAATACGATTGAAGTGACTATGAATGATGCCATGATTGCTGTCAAGCATCCTTGGGATTTAAGTGAGAAGGCAATGCGATATTTGGAAAGAGGAGCATCTTGAAGATCCATATCCCAATATAACCACGTCAACAAACCAGTGCCGAATAGACAGACCACCCATACAACCATGACTATTGTCATCGCTTTTTCCGTCGTCTTCCAGGTGAAATATTTCACGTCAAGTTCTATCGCTAAAAGCGCATTTCCAAGCAGAACCAGCGTGGAGACGATATTAAGGAGGATGAAAAGGTGGCATAGAAAAAGCGACATTATCGCCAAAGTCTTTCCAGTAAACCATTTGACATCCACAACAAGCCAAAGTATGTACATAGGTACGTTCATGAGTGCGTTGAAAAAGTCGATCAACGCCAGATTGCCAATCAGAATGTTCGGAAAGGTTCGAAGCTTTTTAAACCGCACAATGATACCAAGAACGAACCCATTACCAGGTACTGCGATGATAGCCACTAATGAAAGAAGCACAGTCACAAAGATAGCGAAGGATGAGAAATATTCGATCTCCATGACTTCTGTGCCGCGTCCGGCGTCTTTCTCAGTACCACGGCAAGTCACGTTTTCATAGAAGTACCGACGTTTTTCTTCTATTTCTCGCCCCATGTATAATTTATTCAAAGACAGTCTTGGATTCTGGATTCCACGGTGTGGATTCCAGATTCTAGTTATTGTATTGAGAGAGATCGGCATCAAGTTTCTCCTTGTAATAGCAATGCTTTGTAAAGCAGAGTTGGATGAGAATTAAGAACATGATCACACAAGATGTATTAGCTTGATATTTTGTCAACTTCTCCCCACTACTTCTATAGTAAATGAATAGGGGCAACAAAGGAGAATTTTAATTTAGATCTTAGGGTTTAAAGGGTTAACACTGGATTCCAATCGTTAACGGGATTCTGGATTCTTTGAACTGAATTCAGGAGTACACAAGCAAATATTTCCCGGATTATGGATTTCTATAAGTAAAAAACTGAAAAAATTTCCGGATTCTGGAATCCGGATTGCCTAACGTGAGGCGATATTAAGAGAATCACCGATATTCTTTTAAATTTTCCCCATACGTTCAATATGCAGCTGGCTGCTATGTAATTATGAATCAATTCCCATTTTTAAAAAGGAAATTAATTCGAAACTTTGGAACAAAACACTGTTCACTTTTCGGATTTGTCCGTCAAGTTTATTGTCTCCCATACAGCCGTTCATTGTTTGCGTTGCTTCATGGCACATCGAACGGTACCTTAACACACTATCACTTTAATTTACGATTTCTGTTGATTTGTTAAATTAAAAAAAAAACAAAAACGAGAAGAAAAAATTAAGAAAAGTCATTTAGAGCCAAAAGACACATTTGTTTTTAAAAACAGTCTTTCGTTTAATATGTGACGGGATATATGTCGATACCCTCTTTATAAGAGTAGCAACGTAATGAAGTGATTTAGTAAACTTAGAAAACATTGATTTGCTTCTCCTGTGTTTTTAATAGCCACAGTCGGACCTAGATTTTCCGGCATTCGTTAACACAGTTTCCAATAAACATGGGGGCCGCGGAATATTTCCGTTCGAGTAATTATGGTATGCAAATTTTCATTTTGTCAGATTTCTTAGCAGTATTTTTTTTCATATATTTTCCCACGATCATGGCAATTCGCTCTAATGGAGTAAATCTAGAAAACAACTTTAAAAACGTTGGCAATTACATCTTAGCATAGTGTGAAGTGTCGTTCCAAATCCAATTAAAGGCGTTGCCCCTCTGGTTACTCCTTAGCAGGCTTGACACGAGGAGAGGGCTGACACCTCAAACTGTAAATCTTATCAATCGGCGTAAAATGGAAAGGGGGTGAAAAACGCCAATGCCAAAAGTTATAGTACTCCAAAAGCGAATATAGACTAAAATGGACTTGGTGTTAGGAAATCTGCACTAACGCTTAAATATCTGGTGGAAACAAGCGGGGAAAAATGTTAGGGTTTCTAGGATGAATTTTATCAAAAGTAGATTGTGTGCTATTAACCTTTTTTTTTAAGGTTTAAGTTTGAGTTACCAAAAAATGCCTTGTTTTTACATGAAATGTGTTTTCACTGTTTTTTTCTGTTTTTATTTTGTGTATTTTTGTTGCTACGTTTTTAAAGATTGATCCGGTCTCATCAATAGATCTGATGATGAAGCCCTTGCATGTAAAGTACCTGACGTGAACAAAGTTCTTAAGGAATGCTGCAAGCAAAAGAACTGGGGTTTTGTTGACCACTCTAACATTTCAATAACTAGCCACTTAAATCGAAGTGGTCTTCATTTAAACAAGAAAGGCACCACGCGCCTAGCTCAAAACTTCATTAACCATTTACGTGTAGACTAGGATATTGCCGTCTGGGAATCCGACTCGGCTGATGTCCATAAGGGTACCGACCGCGGTAAGTCCAGCTGTCCCACAATCTTTGGTCGAGGTTTAGCTATAGCATCCCTTAACATTAATAGTCTGTTGTCTCATATTGACGAACTTAGAGTTTTTATGTCCTCTTCAAAAGTTGATATTTTACATATCAACGAGTCAAAATTAGACTCTACAGTACGTGATGACGAAGTTTACATACCTGGCTTTGAAATAGTCAGAAAAGATCGTAAAATTAACAGAAGGAATGGAGGTGGAGTATGTACATACGTACGCACTAATCTGAACTATCGAATACGTAATGATTTAATTTAAATAATGATCTTTTAGAGTCTCTTTTTGTTGAAATCAGTAAGCCACGAAGTACACCATTTCTGGTCGGTACTTGGTATCGACCCCCAAGTTCTCCACCCAATTTATTTAGCGAATTTGAGAATGTTATTGCTAAAATTGACGCGGAAAATAAGGAATTATATTTACTCGGTGATATCAACTGCAATTTGTTGCCTGAAGCAATTACAGTCAATTCTTCCCATCTGATAAACATTTTCGATATATATGGTCTTAGTCAGTTAATCACTGAACCAACACGTGTCACCCAGAACTCAAAAACATTAATTGATTTATGTATAACGAACTCCCCAGATAAGATTACAAATTCCGGTGTCATTCACCTTGGCATAAGTGATCATTCTCTTGTTTTTTTTGTCACGTAAGACTCAATACTGCCGTATTGGCCCTCGCGTGATTGAAACACGACAATTTAAACACTTTAACAGAGGAAAATTCTTAAGTGACCTCAATCAACTACCTTGAGCCAATGTTGATTTGTATTCTGATCCCAATGAAATGTGGCATGTATGGAAAGAAATGTTTCTTGGCTGCGTCGATAAACACGCACCACTTAAATCCAAAAGAATTCGGAAAAAACGATCTCCATGGATTACTAGAGAGTTACTGAGCAAAATCCGAAAACGAGATTTCCTTAAAAAGAAGGCAATCTCCTCCAATAACCCGGCTATATGGGATCAATTTAGGTGTGCAAGAAATCAGGCAAATAACGCAATTAAACTCGCAAAAAAACTCTATGTTTCTGACAACCTGGAAGCCAACAAAGGTAATTTGCGCAAAACATGGAATGTTATCAACGAGCTAACTTCACGTAACAGTGGTAAGTCAACGAATATTTTGGAGATCAAGGTAGATGATAAAATAGCAAGTAACCCTTTGGACATTGCGGAAACTATTAACGATCACTTTACAAACGTTGCGCAAGTATTAGCACAAGATATTCCTGTTGTCGATGTTAATCCTGAGTCTTATTTAAAGCCCACTGATCATTCGTTTTCTCTGCAAATTCCGAGTGTTGATATTGTTTCTAACGTTTTGTCGAAAATTGATGAAAAGAAAGCCATCGGTCTTGATATGATTCCGAGTAAATTGTTGAAAATGGCTGCTAATATCGTCGCACCCTCTCTTACCTCAATATTCTCAAAGTCTATTCTCACTGGGATATATCCAAACGATTGGAAAACAGCCAAAGTGACTCCACTTTTTAAAAAGGGCATTAAATCGGACCCTAACAACTACAGGCCAATATCTGTAATCCCTATAATTTCGAAAGTTTTTGAAAGAATTGTTTATAATCAACTTTTCCATTATCTAGATGATAATAAATTGCTACTAGGTTGCCAATCAGGGTTCCGTTCTCTACATAGTACGCTCACGGCTTTGCTTGAGGCAACAAATGCTTGGTCAGTAAACATCGACAATGGCCTTCTAAATGGCGTTGTCTTTATTGACCTTACTAAGGCATTCGACACCATTGATCATGAGATCATCTTGCGTAAGATGTCGTACTTGGGTGTCGATCAGGCAGCTATAAAATGGTTCTCGTCGTACTTAAGTGGCCGAACCCAAAGATGTAATGTCAGTGGCAAACTATCATCTGCTCGTACCCTCAGTTGCGGCGTGCCGCAGGGTAGCATATTGGGTCCTTTGCTATTTTTAATTTACATTAATGATCTTCCCAACTCCCTGCGGGGCGCCGTACCAAGAATGTTTGCCGACGACATCAACCTTACGTTATCTGCTAAGACGTTAAAAGAGCTTAAGCTAGCTCTAACCCCTGAATTAAATAACCTTAGCTGTTGGCTGAAAGCTAACAAGCTCAGTCTAAATGTTGCTAAAACAGAGCTAATGATTATTGGATCAAGACAAAGACTATCTGCCCAATGTGACGATGTAGAAATCAGAATTGATGGCCAAATTATTAAGAGAGTCGATCATACCAAATCCTTGGGTCTTACCATAGATGCTCAACTCTCTTGGGGTAAACACGTTGAAGAGATTTGCAAGAAAGTCTCTTCAGCTATAGGCGCCCTAAAACGTGTGCGGCCCTTTATATCCAAAGAAACTGCAATTCAAATTTATAACGCTTTAATTATGCCTCATTTTGATTACTGCAGCCTCGTCTGGGACTGTTTGAGTGGTTACTTGAGTGATAAGCTCCAAAAATTACAGAATCGTGCAGCCAGAGTTATTACTAAATCACCCTTTGATGCGAGCTCAAACCACCTTCTCTCCACCCTCAGCTGGGAGAGGCTATCTCTTCGACGAAAGAAACAAAAAGCCGTAATGATGTATAAAACCATGAATGACCTTGCTCCAGAATATCTGCAAAGTCTTTTCTCTCAGCGTCACTCTGCTTACAACTTAAGAAACTCTGAGGGAAGGCTGACCTTGTCCAAACCAAGCACCAATTATTTGAAACGAAGCTTCTCTTACAGCGAGGCCATGTTATGGAATAACTTGCCCAAAAACTTAAAAAACGCTGCATCCGTTGAGCATTTTAAGCGAAATATCAAGAAGGTAGCTGATATATCGGATTCCCACACGGCAATCATGTAAAGCAGTTGTAATTAGTTTTAGTTTTTAACTTAAGCTTAACTGATGATTTCCCGTGTTTAAATAAAGATTTACATACATACATACATACGGTGCCGATAGCTACGCCTCTCATTGAAGTAAAGTTTGCTCTCATTGAAATAAAGTTTGCATGCAATCGTTATTTTACTTCAATATCCACTGGAAATGTTTGTTGTTCTTCTTTTTTCTTAACAACGGCTTTAAAGTTTAGATCAGAGGTTAACGAAGCGCTTTAGAACGGAATCACTTCTCAGTAGAAGATCTCATAAACTTTGTTAAAAATATTTAGGATACGGGCTCTACATAGGTCCCTTAAATGTACGTGCTATTTTTCCCGTAAAAAAGTTTTATGCAACGCCCGCAATTTCTCTTGCATAA